CATTGCAGCTCTTTCAAAACATGACTTGGCAAGAAAAAAAATTAATAAAAATTTGATCAGGCATAAAATGACTGTATTTTTGGTTAAAGTGCAGAACGATAGCACAATATAGGTATGGTATAGCTTTTATTTTTATTCAGCTGTTTAGTATGCTGTAGGTATAAATGAGAGACTTAAACCAAGCATCAAAACTGAACCTTTCAGACGTTAATGTGATGATAGCTGTGTTATTATGAGGCTAATGATATCTAGTGCACACAAGAATACATAGGTGTCATGCTGGGAAACCAATGATCTGGCTCTCATTCTGACTGCGGGCAAAGAATATCTCATCAAAGCTATAAATTTCATGAGTCTGTTCCCAAATTTAAAACCCTTAAGGAAATGGCTTTCATGGTTCAACAGTTTTAAAGGGTTGCTCTTACTTGGCTTTGTAACAAGTAAATTAATAGTTCTTCCAAAACAAATCAGAATTATGCCATAGCTGCGTGCATTTTCATGCTGTTGCCTTCAGCGTTTTCCTTCCCTCTCCAGATAACATCGCTGCAGAATCCACATTGAATTCACCGTGGGGAAACATTTATTACCCGCTATGATTTCTCAGCCTAGCCTTAGATAGGTGATAGAAGCCGCTTTACTCGTTGCTATGTAAAAATTGTTTTCTTTAGGTCATGTGAAATAGAGCCAGTTTCTAATCAACCTTCACTTTTCACAGAGTAAAACCCATCCAGCCTAATGTCAGGGAGAGTTAAGTTTCTGTAGCGTGATGCAGAGCAACCAACCAAGAGGGAGAGAGCTTATGGGACTGCAATCATAAAGAAGCTGAAGTGACAGACTTCTCTGCCAATATGGGCTGCTTTCCCCCCTTAAAAATTCTGACTGTGCAAATATTGCAGCATCTGAAAGGAATAATCATGTTTAAATACCTCTCTTAATTTCAAGGTATAAAAATGCTTTCTGATGAGCAGAAAATGAATATTGTGTTAGGATTAGCTGTTGCATGTCGAATTTCATGCATATAATGCACTATGACTAGTGCTGTTCAGGAGAAAAACCATAAATGAGCACCGAATGTCCAGCACAGCAATACAAATCTCAATATATAAATAACAAATATACTCTGAATTCTCCTTTTAACCAGGAAGAAGTTACACATATATTAGGATTAAAATACCAAGATGTATCTGGTGTGTGTAGAACACTTACGGTTGCACAGCATTTTGCATCTACCTGTTTCAATGCCAGTGGAGCTATAAAGAGAAGATTAACAGCATCTGTGTCAAACGTAGCTTTGCTTTTTTGGTTCATGCCAATTATTTGGAGCCCTCTCTTTAAAGTGAGGATGTAGCATCCAGAATATGAACCCTTGCGTGACAACAGCAATTAAGTGATACGCTAAGGAAATTAATTATACACCATACTCTCATAAATCAGGAACACCACTCTGTGGGTGACACAACTCCTGCTCCTCCAGTTATCATAGAATCACTCAGGTTGGAAAAGACCCTTGGGATCATCGAGTCCAACCATCAGCCCTACTCTACAAAGTTCTCCCCTACACCATATCCCCCAACACCACATCTAAAGGACTCTTAAACACATTCAGGGATGGTGACTCAACCACCTCCCTGGGCAGCCTATTCCAGTGTCTGACCACTCTTTCTGTGAAGAATTGTTTCCTAATGTCCAGTCTAAAGCTACACTGTAGCAGCTTGTAGCCATTCCCTCTTGTTCTATCGCTAATTACCTGTGAGAAGAGACCAGCACCAACCTCTCTACAATGTCCTTTCAAGTAGTTGTAGAGAGTGATGAGGTCTCCCCTCAGCCTCCTCTTCCTCAAACTAAACAGTCCCAGTTCCTTCAATCCTTATTCATAAGATTTATTCTCCAGGCCCTTCACCAGCTTTGTTGCCCTCCTCTGCCCCCGCTCCAGTTGGTGAACCCCCTATGAGGGAGCAGAGCAGGAGCCTCACGGGGAGCACAAAGATCAGAAATTCTTTTCTAAAAACAAAATTTACAGTAAGAGACAAATTTGCTCTTATCTGACGGCGAAGTGACTGTCTGTAAAAGAAAACACAGTGTTGGAGTCCACAAAATCCTCAATGGCCCACTGTTCCACAGGGGGGAAAGAGCAAACATGGAGGAGGGAACAGAACCCAACTGTAATCCCTTATAAACTGCACAAAAAGCAGTAAATTCGCTTTAATATGAGGAAAATGACAGTTTCTCTTCAAGCATGGAAAACATAATTATCCCCCAAGCCACCCTAAAATAGCTCTCACTGGTGCAAGCCAGAAAACTGCAGTTCCCAGCTGGGGAGCACCACCACTGCCGTGCGTGAGAGAGATGGAATGGGAAATAAATAGTCCTCCATCTAGACTTTCAGAGCATCCCGTGACTCTTACTATTAAATAACTGCATAAAGGGAAAGAGAATAAAATAAAAAGGACATTATAACTGCTCAGGCACACGTCCCTAGGGGTGTCTGTGCATTTTTACATACAAGAAATATACCATTCCATGAAAATGTCTGTTATCTCCTAAACTAAAGCTGCTGTCTAAACTTTTGCCCATCCTATCTCTAATTTAGCCTTTGAGCTAAACTCCGGGTACAATTTGAGCTTCACCCTACAGGACCTTGGCTGCTTTCCATATCCAAGCTGGCTGGTGCTTGATGGCAGCATGTACTTACCTTGAGTGAAATCCACAATACTCTGCATCAGGTTTTCAGCTTAGTTCTGATGAAGTAGCAACTCTCAGCAGCATCATGTCACAGTCATGTAGGACCGTTTCAGCCATCTGCTTTACCCACTGATTTGTATCCAAAAATCCTCCGGACATCGAGAAAAAAAGATAGGATGAAAATGAAATTCATACTGAGTAGCCTGAAAACTCAAGAATATATAAAAAAATTAGTGCAGCTGCAAATTTTAATTAGATCAGAATAAAGATAAAGGAAATAGTCACCTATTTTTAATATTCTTTATTTGATCTTTATCAGTTAAAATTCTCTTATTTAGTAAAAATATCTACACACAACTCACTAAATAAACCTCCTCCATTTTTCTAGAAGGAATGAAGTTAGGGCTGCGTTTTGATCCAGCCACATTTGTATCACTTCATCTCAGACCCAGCTGATTACGATACAGTGCTGATTATTATTATTTTTGCAGTGAAAATCTCTACACTGCAGTATTTGAATTTTCAGTTAAATAATTTAACCAAGCGACTGGTTTCTATTTATCGACCCTGACTGTAGAGTTCTGATGACGTATGTCGGATTTCTGAAAAAGCAGTTAACTAGAAGTATGATTTATGTAAATGTACTCTCACGTTAAATTCTTAAAAATTTAGGAAAGGTATAGAAATACTCCTTTTAAGGCTCATCAGCACTACGCATCAAATGGAAGCTTCTGCAGCTTTCCATGTCTGCACCATTTTTCTCACTCAGGTGTTTGGGAGCCAGGTAATATATTTTGATACAAAACCTGAACAGCGAATAACCACCTTTCTCATCTCGTGCACCCGGACGGTCTCAGGCTGTCACGGAGCTGAGACTCACAGCAAAAGGACAAACCTGCTGCCATGGACGGAATAGAAATAGATTATTTTGCACAAATTAGATCCTACCTGCTAATTTCGCATAGGACAATTTGGGTGGATAAACCTAAACAGCAAGAGCAGAGGGGATGGGGGTGGGCAGAGAGGCCGAGACATGGCCCTAACCCATCCCGGCCCATACTCCCCTCTGCATGAAACCTCATTCTCCCACCTTTTCTTGCAAGATTTTTGTTCTGTCCTTCAAAATTCAGAGGCCTTTCAGCCCTTTCCAATGGCAACCCTGCCCCTACTCCAGATCCTCGTGAGTGCTAAGCTCTGAGAACTGACCTTGGCTTTCTGGTTAGCCTGAAAAAAAACCAGGAAAAACGTTCATTTTGTCCTCATCCCCCCCTGTGATCCCACACACCACTGTCCAGAGAACAGTCCATATGGTCCTGTGTGGGAAATCTGTGCCTCTGGCTTTCTTAAATCTTCTTCTTCCGCAGCAGGGAAGTCAAAATCCTGTTCCCTCTCCTTTCTGAGATGGCTGCAGTGGTTGATCTGCACCAAATGGACCAGCGCTGAATTTATTTTACTTGCTAATTTACATGATAGCTGCATTCGTTAAAACGAGATCTAGTGTTATTAAACTCCTGTAGAGTAATTGTGATTGAAATTTCTCCACGAGCCACACGCATTTGAACCTCATGAACCAGAAAAGAATTTATAAAAGATATTGCTTCAGCACAGGCATGTTGCTTTTAAAATATCTGAAACTACAATTTAAACAGAAGGGATAAAATTGAGGATGAATGCTATTTACAATCTGATTTAACACTCGATATACAGAGTAACAGTAAAAACACTGAACAATGGGAAAAGAGGTGGAACTTTTTCAAATGAAGATGATTAACTCCTCCTAGAGCAAGACAAACTTCACTCGAGGGACTTCAGAGAGTGTTGCTCTGATCCTAAAACAGAGTCAGTAAGATTTTTGGTTTCTTCCTTGCAACTTGTGAAACTATCGGGCTATAAACTTCCACTTAAGTTTCTTGTACTAACCCTTCCGTATACTGGCCTGAACAGCTGTTATGGTTTGAAGAATCCACAATAAGAGAGAGAGCACTTCGAGGCAAACTTTCTAATTTATATTGAATGCTCCATTCCTGGTATGAAATAATCCTGTTGGCAGCTTGGTTCAAGTGCCCGGGTCTCGCTCCTCCTCATCCCCGCACCTGGTGAGCTTGAAAACACTGAGACCTTGAAACCCATACACCAGAGCTGGCTGTAAAGTATTTTCACAAATTCAGACACTAGAGTCTTCTAAAAACACAGTTTTACCAAGCATTAGAAGAGACCTCATTGAAAAGTAAAATCACTGAAAAAGAAATTAATCCTGTGTCGCTCAAACCAGGACATTAGGCTAAAAAGCAGAAAAAATCAGGAATAAAAATGATGAGTACAGGAAGAAGGGGTTTTTATTTTAGATTTTCACTACTCACTTAAAGGTGTAATGACACAGCAAGAAGTTATTTAAATCTGTTAGAATGGAAAGATTGGTATGAAGGAACTGGACATGGACAGGATGGCCTAATCAAGACAATTCATGATCACGTGAAGATGGGAAAGGTTTACACGGAAGAAAATGATAATGCGACATGAAACCAATTACAAACATATAAAACTAATTACTTATGAAAACATCCTGTACATACCAAAACACCCGTGCCTCCAACCCAGTCCTCAGCAGAATTTATTTTAATCACTGATCAGAAGAAATTTCAGAACTCGTTTACTAGAACATATTTATCTAACTTTTAAGAATCAAAGCTCTTGCTCAGAAGTAGCAAAATAGGTCAGTTATAACTATCCTTTAAGGATAACATTACTTTGCAGATTAAAAAAAAAGACCTGTTTGCTTAGTAAATGCTATTAGTGATGAATAACCCATCAGCTTTCTATACCGTGTTCAAAAAGCTTTTAGAATTTTATTGGTACGGTGCTCAAGTTCTGATAATTCAGCTTTTAATGCAATCAAGAATATCACCAGGAGCTACTTAATTAATTCCCCAGTGCGGCACAAATTTAATTTTCAATGACTTTATTGAGAACTTTTTTTGTTAATTTTACAATGAGAAACTATAATCACTGTTACACAACTTGCAAATATTTCAAACAAGACAGCAATCTCCTATTTTTTCGATTTTTTCTGTTCCAAATTCAGCTCCTGAGATGGGTTTTCTGCCTCAGCTTCATTTTCGTCTTCCTGTAAAAGAAAATGAAAACCTGAACATTAATCAACTTATTGAAGAAGTACACTTTTTGTACTTATGCATATGTATAGAATTCTGTACAGTCTTTTGTCATCTTTTGCCATCTTTTGCCTGAGCTACAAGCATAAAAATAAGCCAAAAAAAAAAAGTAATTTATTCAAGCATTTGATTTTGCTCAAGAGTTGAAATAGAAATGATAACAACACTCAAAATTTAAACAAATCTAATCACCTACTTTTATAGTAGAAGAATAATTTAATGAGTAAATATTTCCCTGACCAATTTGCTGGACGGTTACATAAAGAAATTACGAAACCACACACGGATAACAAGATATTCAAACGTCTGCAGCAGACACTATTACACACCTTGCCTTTGTTCTTGACCAGAGGTTTCCACTAAATTACTTTGAAATGCAAGAACTTTCATCATTGTTCTAAAAATTACTTTTGAAAAGCATCTGCCATTGAAAAATGTTTCATTTTTTTGAGACCAGATACGTTTACTTCACCATTTGATAAAAGACAATAAATTTAACTTCAGAGACACTTTATGTGCTGCAGCATCGTATTTTTGTCCCATCTAGCATATTTTCTTGACAGGTCTGCCAATTTTCCAATTACTTGTACCACCATATGTTATCTGAAGATCAGTCAGGTCTAAAATAGGAAACATGAGCATGTCAGGCAGCAGCATGCTTACAATATTCTACAGCTTCAGCTCTAGGAGTTGGGCTCATAATTCACTACCGGTTCCTCTGGATCTCACTGAAAAAATGAAGTGACATCATAATGCCCGTTTCCACAGGAATGTATTTTGTGTCCAGCACAAAATCGTGACCTCCAAAGTATAAATTATGGAAGACTGAGAAAACTGTTTCATAAGGCAACTCGCAACCCGTTGAACACTCCTTGTCACACATTCAAAGTACGGCCAGTTTTCCTGCCTGCATTTTAATTCGATATACAGAGAACCTTTACTTTTTAAAATTAAACTTTTAATTCAATATACAGAGAGTCTCATTCCAAAAACACAAAGGAGAAGAAATGAATAGACATTTGGGAATGAAGAAGGGTCCTGCCTGCTGTAGCACCACTCATCACAAGTCAACAGTTGAGAGAAAGGAAAAGTCAGGGACATCAGGTGGGACCTAGGAACCCAGGGTGCAGTTCCCTGCTTGGAAACAGCACCTTCATTTTTATGGGAAAATGCCTTTATCTTCTTGCATCCTAGTCCTTCTTTCACCATCAAAGCATATTTTGTAATAAAGAGCAAAGTAAAAAATATATAGGAAGCTCGCATGGGCATCACAACGTAGAATAGCAATGGAAAATCTCATTTAAAAAATCTGGTCTTGTACTATGTTACGCAACACTAAAATACAACGGGGAATCTAGTTGTTGTATTAAAGAAACATACACTCCAAACCATTCTGCTTCTAAATTCCTCTTCCTTCTGGGCACAGGGTAGGCACTGAGAAATATTTACATGACTGACCGCTAAAGGCTAAAAGCTTTTTTTCCCTTATCTTTCCGGACTGTCATCTCTTCGATTACCTTCAAAACATGCAGTGAGCTCTGTGGCTCTTTCAGTTCAGGTGAGGAAACACGTCTATGTGTGTGAAACCAAAGATTGTTGATTCCTTGAAATTACAAGTGGAGCAGATATTCAAGAGAGTGCAATGTACAGTGGACACACAAACTTCTAAAGAAAATAAAGGCAAGGCAGTACGGGAAGCAACAAAGGAGCAATGTGTAACTAAGCTTAGATGTGCTGCTCACGGGCGTCAAAGAATATCACCGAATAAAAAAGCCACCCCAAGAGACTTCTGGCTGCTAAACAGCCAGGTTCTGTCATGAATCACAGAATCACAGAATCTTCTAGGTTGGAAGGGACCTTAAAGATCATCTTGTCCAACCGTCAACCTAACTGACAAAAATAGACACCCACACAACAAACAAGGAGCATCATCACTAACCCAGACCTCCCAGCACTACATCAACCCGTCTTTTGAACACCTCCAGGGATGGTGCCTCAACCACCTCCCTGGGCAGCCCATTCCAATGCCTGATAACCCTTTCAGTGAAAAATTTTTTCCTAATATCCAGCCTGAAGGACCTGTTAATAAAAGAACAGCAAATCCGCACGTTTCTGAAGATCCTTCCCCACAGAAGTTGCGTCTCTACTGACCTCAGTGCCAACTAATCCACCCCCCCAGCACACAACCTGCCGTTATTCCAGCATCCTGACCTGTACTCCCTCATACAGAGGATATAAACCTTACAAAATCCTTGTTTTCCCAGGCAGGGACTACAGGGCCATACCTTCCCTGAGGACTCCAAGAGGGTGAAGGGATATTGGGCTCAAGGCTGAACGCCAAGCTTCCTAAGTCTATTTTTTTTTTTTTTTTTTTTGTGGACAAAAAGGTTTTTATCCAGCAAAAGATGTTTTGTAAGGGAATCTTCTGGCTTTGTGTAGACTTGACATGCTTTAATTCTGCGCTGGGGAGGTCGCGCTTGCTCCCTGGCAGGTTTCCGAGGCTCCAGCAGCAGCTGCAGTGACAGGGGGTTTTGGGGATGCAGAACTGCCGGCTGAGGGGCTGCAGCAAGCCCAGGATCTGCTCTGGGGGAACACTCAGGAGAGAAGCATCCTCTCTGGGATATTCTGCCACACCAATACTCTTTGCTCCGTTCATCTCCCGTTGCTTCAATCAGGCAAAACATAATCAAACAGGTAAAATCCACCAGCAGAGCATGAATTGGACTCTTGCAGGCAGATTTCCTCATACAAGCCATCCAGATCCCTGACAAGTCTGTTGCTTTTTGTTATTTTGATATTTTTATGCACAAAATCTTCCTGAAGAATATGGTATTAAAACACGCTCCCCGCAGCACATCCCAATTGTGTTTTACTGCGTTTTCCAAGAAGAGAAACTCACATTTCGTTATTGGAACAGAAATCTAAGTGTGGTGACTGCTGTGCGAAACGCAGAGCAGTGATGGTTGATCCTTCTCACAGTATGAATTATCAAGGGGGAAAAAAAAACCTTCTCCTTTGTCAGAAAAGCCTTTGGCCGGATGAGTTCCCAGACCTGTGCGCTGCCACCGGGCCAGCACAGGAGAGACCACAAAAATGATTGACGGGGGACCCAGGAAAGTATGAACCAACCAGTTCTGGCACCCAGGCATCTTTCTGCCAGAAAAAAAAAAAAAAAAAAAAAAGAGCAACAGCAGCAGCCTGAGAATGGCAAATGTACCAAAATGACTGAAAATCATCAGAAAATTTTGAGGAATGAGCTCCTATAAGAAGTACAATATCACTTCCAATACACTTGGGAAAGATTTGAACTCACAATTCAGAGCACACATATTAGCCAAGATGTGAAGACTCGCTATTATTTCGGCTTGCTGACAATGCAAAATTTCTATGAAATATTTTATCTTTCTTTTTTTTTAAAAAAAAGCCCAAGAGGCATCCCAATGATTGCGTGTGGAATACTGAATTGGTTGGAGTTTCTAATGTCATTAATAATGTTTGAATTTTCAGCTAAATAGCCTATATAGCCTAATTATCATGAAATTATGCCAAACAGACTGCAGATTAAACATATTTAATATATTTGTTTTACTAATTACCACCTATCATTACCATCATTACAATGCTTTTAATTCTGATGGATAGCAAATGAAAACCTTTTATTTTCCTGTTATCTGTTAAAGAACAGTCCATGATGGCAGTGTGTAAAGTTGCTGTTACCAGTGGCTACACAGCAGATGAAATACAGAATTCCAGTTTCTGTGGCACAGAAATACAGTTCAAATTATATCCACTAATACCACACATCTCTATTTTATGTTATTTGTTTTGCTTCCAGCTGCCTATGCCTCTACCGTCCAGTGCTTTCTGTCCTAAAAATCCTGAGACAGAGAACAGCCATTTTGGTGTTAAAATGCTCAATGACCAAAGCAGTTTTTGCAAGCAAAAGTCACACATCAAACTCCTCAAACTCCTCTTTTCTGACTACAGGCAGCCATAGACTCAAATATTCTACAGTGAATTTTGAACACACTCACCTAAAAGGTGTCTCAGCACACATCTGGCCACTTGTAAGAGCAGCAACGGGAAGTGAATCCCTCAAGACTATTACTATTCCCACTAAAAAAGTGCATTTAACAGCCCAAAGATTATTTTCATATTGAAATGAATGAAGTTTCCTAGGCTGGAATTGTCGTTCTTTCAGATTTACAAAACCAACAGTGATAAGGAAAAGTACAAAGGGCTTATAAAGTGCTGTTAAACCCAACACCCTGAACTGAAATGTCAGCTCAGGAGCCCCTTAAGCCACTGATGCCTGGACACCTCCTCACCATCCTGATGATGCTGATGAACTGATGGACCTTCCACATCATCTTTTTTCCTACATCTTGTCCCCAGGCATCCCTCCTTTTCCCTGATGGAAACAAGGCATTAGATTAAAGGGTCCTTTGGATGCTCTTCAAATGTCCTATGGACATCTTTTCCTCCAAACTACTTAGTCTGAGCTTGATAGAAGAGAATTTATGGGTCACAGTAACAGAACAGGGACAAGACTTTAAAACTGAGACGCTACAATCTGCCACCTAAATAAGTCTTGTGAATTATTATTAAAATATTGAGCATTCAGTTTCTTTGCTGAAGTTAATGGGGGTACTTTGATATTTAGCTGTCTTTAGCTGCCAAAAGAATAAAGGTAAGAAGCTGATTTTTAAGATCCTACTTCTGAAAATTTTGATCTGACAGTTCAGAGAGACTGTCCCATAACTTCAGCCCCTCTGAAAGCATGCTTAAGGTCAACTACAAACGATGCTCTGAGCAGAGAATAACAGGTCCCACGTGGAAAGTTAATTTTGTAGTAATTATTCCAGAATATTCCCCTGTAGACAAATTCTGGCACGAAAAAAAGCACCAAGAAATAGGGTTTTGGGTGTCTTTTTTCCTCTTTCCCCCCGCCTCC